ACTTAGGACTGGAATAAATGGGGCTGAACACTTCTCATTGGTAAAAACAAAAAAAGCATGGCAGGCATTTTTATTTCGAAGACAGCCCTGAAATCCAAAGAAAAGGAAGCATGATGGCTCCTGTATGAGAAAAGACATTTGGAAGCAGGTGGTGAGGTCAGGAATGTGGTCCAGTGGGAACACCACTGTATAACAGTCCATTCATCCAGTCTATACTTCCTTAGTTTGCCTGAGAGAAAGTTGTAGGAGACTGTATCAACAGCCTTGCTAAAATCAAGGTGTACCACATCCGTTGGTCTCCCGGCATCCAGAGAACCAGTCATCTCATCACAGAAGACAATCAGGTTGGTCAGGCATGACTTGCCCTTGGTGTATCCATGCTGACTGTTCCTAATCACCTTCTCCTCCATGTGCTTAGAAATGGATTCCTTGAGGATCTGCTCCATGATTTTTCCAGGGACTGAGATGAGGTGGACCTGTTTGTAGTTCCCTGGATTCTCCTTTTTTCCTTTCTGAAATACGGGCACTATGTTTACCCATTTCCAATCATTCAGGACCTCTCCTGAGAGCTATGCATTTTCAAAGATAATGGCCAGCAGCTCTGCAGTCACATCAGTCAACTTCCTCAGCACCCTCGGGTGCATTCCATCCAGCCCCACAGCCCCATGGACTTGTGTATGTCTAACTTTTCTAAATAGCCCCTAACCTGTTCTTTAGCCACTGTTGGCTGCTCATCTTCATCCTAAACTGGGGAGCTGACCTTGATTGTGAAGACTGAGGTGAAAAAGGCATTGAGTACTTCAGCCTTTTCTGCATCCTCTGTCACTAGGTTCCCTCCTCCATTCATTAAGTGACCCACACCTTCCTTGATCTTCCTCTTGTTACTGACATACTTGTAGAAACCCATCTTGTTTACTCTCCACATCCCTTGCTAGCTGCAACTCTGATTGTGCTTTGGCCTTCCTAACTTCATCCCTGCATGCCTGAGCAATGTTCTTACACTCCTCCCTAGTTGTGTATCCAAGTTTCCGCTTCTTATAAGCTTCCTTTTTGTGATTTAGTTTACTGAAGAGTTCCCTGCTACGCCAAGCTGGTCTTTTGCCATACTTGCTAGTCTTCCTGCATATTGGGATGGTTTGTTCCTGCACTCAGTAAGGCTTCTTTAAAGTACAGCCAGCTTTCCTGAACTCCTCTCTCCCTCAGACTGGCTTCCCAGGAGATCTTGCCCATGAGGTCTCTGAGCAAGTCAAAGTTTGATTTTTCTGAAGTCCAGGGTCCTTACTCTGTTGTTCTCCATCCTTTCTTTTCTCAGGATCTTGACCTCAGTCATCTTGTGGTCACTGCTGCCCAAGTTGCCATCTGCTAGTGCATTCCTGACCAGTTCTTCCCTGTTTGTGAGCAGCAGGTCAAGAAGAACACAACTCCTAGTCAGCTGTGCCAGGACTTGTACCAGGAAGTTGTCCCCACACGTTCTCCAAAAACTTCCTAGATTGCCTGAGCATTGCTGTATTGCCTTCCCAGCTGATGGCAGAGTGATTTAAGTCCCCAGTGAGAATCAGGACCTGTGATTGGGAAACTTCCACTAGCTGTTTGAAGAAAGCCTCATCCACCATGTCCTCCTGGTGTGGTGGCTTATAGCAGACCTCAACCACGACAACACCCTTGTTGCTCTCTCCTCTGACCCTAACCCACAGACTTTTGACAGGCCTATCTCCAGTTTCACACTGGAGCTCTGAGCAATCATACAACTCTTTTACATAAAGTGCAACTCCTCCTTCTCTTCTGAACAGTTTGTACTCATCCATGACAGTGCTCTAGAGAGTCAAGTCTCTGTTATTTCAGTCACGTCATAGTGCTGTGACTGTGCAAGGACTTTCAATTCTTCCTGCTTGTTCCTCAGGCTTCATGCATTCATGTACAGGCACCTAAGGTAGCTAGTTGATTGCCCTGGTTTCTCAGGAAGAATGAGAACACCTCCTCTGTTGCCCCCTCCTGCTGGTCTGCCTCCAGGTTGCCCGCTTCCCCACTTACCTCATAGCTTTGGTCTCTATCCCCCAGCGAACCTAGTTTAAAGCCCTCCTCACTAGGTTAGTGAGCCTATCTGTGAAGATGATCTTCCATCTCTTTGTCAGGTGGATCCCATCTCTTCCTAGCGATCCTTTTTGGAACATCATCCTGTGGTCAAAGAAGCCAAACCTCTACTGGCAACATCACCTGTGCAGCGAGGCATTGATCTGTAGGATACACCTGCACCTGCCCAGGTCCTTTCCCTTAAATATGTGAGAAGCCTCCTCAAGAATTGGAAGAAAAGCTTTTTGCATTTCAGCATTTTATTACCCTCCATTCTAGCAAATAATTCCAGTTTTGGCAGATAAGAAAGACTGAATAGACACCTGTATTTTTTTTTTTGAATACCACAATTCAAAAAATGGAAGAAACAGGATAGAGTGATCACTGTAGGAAATGAGAAGCTGCAGATAATTGTAATACTCAGTGCAAAAGCCAGCCATTAGAGAAATTTTCAAAAGGAACTTTTGTTCAAGCACAGGTAACAGGATGGATAACAGAAGAGCTTTTATCCTGAATTGGCTCCAGCAAGTATAGTTTGGGCAGTCTGCTGTCTTTTTTAAACTAAATTCAATACTTGTGATGGATTCTTAAAGACATACAGCTGATGATGTTTAGAAAACCTGACCCCACCGCAGATTCGATTATCATTCAAGGTGGGATGATATCACAGCCTCAGTCTTTGGATGTCTGTGTAAGCAAGTCTTTTAAAAATACATTTTAAAATCTTTATCAGAAATGGCTTCTGAATGGCAGAAACAGCTGATTCTAACTAGCAAAATACACTATGTGATTGTTTCTCTTGTGTGAATGGATTGTTAAGACTTGGTGATCTATGAAAATGGAGACTAATGTGCTGCTTCAAAAATATTACATCTCTAACTGACTCGGTGGAACAGAAGTTAATGTTGTTTGGGAGATGTCAAATATTGTTCAATTTTTTGCAATGAAATGCTACAAATATATTTGGTTATGTATATTAGATAAAAAATAAAATAAAGACTTGTTTGCACGGATATAAATTACTTGCCATAATTTATAAGGCATATAAGTGCAAGTGTACATACACGCACACTTACTGATTGCCCAAAAATTTGGGTGCATCTTTCTCTTTGAATTAATACAGTAGAAATGAATTTTCATTACCCTTTATAATATACAGATGGCAAAGTGCCAGATAGGCATAAGTAGCACCTTGGGCACATACTTATAGTTTGCAGTTCCTGTAGCTGTGCAGCTTGAATGTATAAACTGCTACACTACTGCTGATCATGTGTAGTAGGCTCCACAGTGGCCAGGCAGGTACATGGCTATGTACCCTCTGGCTGCATGGACACCTTCCCCAGCAGTGGCATCTCCCAAGTAGTGTGGTGCTGATGAGGGGACTAAGGACATGAGCCCTCAGCTGCTGGACCCAACCCATAGGTGCCCCACATCTCAGTAGCCAGCATCAAGCAGCAACCCTGGATTCAGTGGCACAGTAGGGTGGTACCCCCTTTCAGTCCAATCTGATACCCTCTTAACATAGGAGCCTGGGGCTTATGCCCCAGTTGCCCACTGTTAAGTTATGCTATTGGGTGGAGGGGGGCCAATTTTAGCTCCATTAGCTGAGGGGTTAGGGCGTTTATCCAGGAAGCAGACGACCTGGGTTCTAAATTCCCATCAGCCAGAGGGGATTTGAATCTATGTCTTGGACTTTTCAGCACTGTGCTTCAATTGCCACATTACAGGTTAGGCATTATATGCAGCCTTTTCAGACTTGCTCTTGAAGCTGGATCACTGGGGATGTAATAGAGGGAGATAGATATTGGTCTCTGTGCTAGCCTGGACTGTTTCTCCCAGTGGGGCCAAAAATCTGTTGCTGTACTTCTCTCCATCAATTTTATTCAATAACTGTCAAATGCAAGGTGCAGTGCCTTAGCTTCAGAAGGAGCACTGGAGGGCAGCTGTACAACATCTATCCTGTACTGTTGGTTACAATACTGTGCTGGAAAACCAGCAATGTACAAGTTCAAACCCCCTCAGCCTAAGATGAGCCTGGGGCCCAGGTCATCTGCTTTCTGGTCAGGTGCCCTAACCACTCAGCTACTGGGGCTAAAACATGGGAGAGTCCTCTGTTGTTTTTTTTTCCAGGACACATTCAGGGTGCTTGTATATAGCCATGTACCTGCCTGGTCAGCATGCAGCCTCCTGTGAATGCTTCATAGAATGAGGTATGTGGTTGTGCAAATGAGAGCAGAACTACATTACTTACTGGGCCCTGAACAGCCTAAGAAAGAAAGAGGCACTGTATGAAGCTTTCACAGTACTTTCATAGATGGATATAACTTTTTCAAGAAAGGCAGAAAGGGGTGGGGGAAGGAGACAGTGTTGCTCTGTTTGTAAAAGAGATGCCATTTCTGAGGTGCAGTATGAAGCAGGAGGAAGACCTGTTGAAAGCTTCTGTGTAAAGGTCAGAGGGGAGAATAGCAAGGGTGTCTGCTGAGGTCTATCAAAGCAGGAGGAAGAGGTGGACGTGGCTTTCTTTAAACAACTAACCAAAGTTCCCAAGTCTCAGGACTTGGTTCTCATGGGGGACTCTTCAATTTGGGTATTAGGAAGAACTTTCTCACTATGAAGTCAGTTAAGCTTTGGAACAGGCTGCCTAGAGGGGTCCTCTGAAGGTTTTAAGAACAGATTAGACAAACACTTGAGTACTATTGTTTTTTTATATGGTCAAGATCAAATGTAGTTCCTGTTTTTATCCATTTAACATCTGACTTGTTCTATCAGTGAGAACTTTACATAGTATTGGTTTTGTCAAGGAGCATCCTATCTTCAGCAAGCATTTGTTCTAGCTCTCTTGAGGTCTCCTTCAGCTCTACTTTTTCAATGATTCTGCGATCTCTTTGTGTCTGATACCGGACTTCAGATGTTATTTTTGCTTATTTCAGGATTTACTCTGAATCACAGTCCAGGAAAAAGAAATACTCATTTTGATTGAAGTTGAACATTTGCCTCCAGGATTAAGAACAAACAGCCATGCCGGTGCTTTCAGAAGATGCAGGTATTTAGTTTGAATTTTTCTCTAATTATAAGAGTGTTTGAAAACTTAGGGTGATTACACAAGTTATTTTTCACAAGATCGGGCCCCTGAAAGTTCTCTGCAGCCATGACATAATGCACATGCATGGCTGCAAAGCACTTTTAAAATGGCCAGTCGCACGAAAAATTAACCCTGGTCAGATCAGGAAATAGATGAAGACAGTCTAAGGCAGAGTGCCTTAGGGAAATAGTGTTCCCTCCAGGATTAATTTTTCTTCAATTTGAGAAGGAAAAAAGTCCCTTATCTTGGATTAAAGCAGGGGTCAGGAACCCCTGGCACTTGAGGCCATTTTGCTTGGCATGCCACCACCAGCCCCGGCTCTGGGTAGCTGATGCCAACCATGGAGCCCGGGCTGCACCCAGCGGGTGGCTGGGAAGCTGCAAGCCCTGCTGGAAACAGGCCGGGCTCCCTGGTTGGCAGCAGCTACCTGGAGCTGGGGCTGGGTGCAGCAGGCAGGCTGCAAACAGCTATGCCGGGCTCTGGCATCAGCTCCATACTGGCATATGCATGCGCGCCTTGACCCGGGTGGTGGGAGGGGCCTGAGGCAGCGCAACCCCAGTCTCTCCCCTGCTGCCGGCACAGAGCTGATGGCAGGGCTCTGGAGCCTGGCACAGCCATTTGTAGCCAGCCTGGGCTCTTGGCAGCTGCAAACAAGTGCGCCAGGCTCCACAGCTCTGGCATCAGCTCCATGCTGGAGGTGACTGCACGTACACAGCTGTTTGCAGCCAGCCTGCTGCAGAGACCCAGAGCCCAGGCTGGCTACAAGCAGCTGCTCTGGGCTCCGGTGCCCAGTCATCAGCTCTGTGCTGGCAGCAGGGGAGAGGCCGGGTTTGTGCTGCCTCATGCCCCTGCCACTGTCTGCTCTGAGGCGCATGTGCAGCTGTTTGCAGATTCCTGGCTGCAGCCAGCCCCAGCTCTGGGTAGCTGCTGCCAACCATGGAGCCCAGGCTGCTTGCAGCAGGGCTTGCAGCTGAGCCAGCCTGATTCCCACCCACTCCAAGCCCAGCACTGGCCCAGCCCCCCTACTGGGATGAGGCTGGCATTCTCCCTTGCCAGGAGCGCCACACCTTTGCGGGCTTAGCTGTGTGGAGTGGGTAGGTGGTTGGGCTGATGGGCAGGCTCTGGGGCTCCGGCAGGCCCAGGGCATTGTTGGGTCGGACTTTGTCCTGTGGCCTGGCTCTGTGCACCCATGCGTCTGGTTTTGTATGTTTGTTTGCCTCTGGTTCTGTGTGTCTGTGTGTGCACACATGTCTGGCTCTGGATGTGTGTGTGCATGCGTCTGTTCTGGTTCTCTGTGTTTGTGCACATGTGATTCTGTGTGTGTATGTGCCTGATTCTCTCTCTGCTCTCCTCTTTTTCTCTTTCCCTCTTTCTCTTTCTCTCTCTCCTCTTTCTCTTATTTCTCTTCTCTCTCTCTCTCACTGCAACATGCTTAACAAAAAAAGTACACAACAACAAAGGCAACATTTATGATTATTAAATATACTAACAATCGTATTAGTATATTTAATACTAATGCCCTGCCATATACTGTGCCCCACCCCCAAATTTTGTTTTTCTGGCATGCCAGCACTCTGGCACCTTCCAAGGTAGACATTGTGGTTTTTTGGCACTCAGGCCAAAAAACGTTGCCTACCCCTGGATTAGAGTATGAGGCAGCAGGGGAGCAGGCAGCTGCTGTGGCTTTGGCTCTGATCCTGAGCCAGGCTTGGGGGCCACAACCTGCCCCCACTGCCTCCTCCTCCTCCACCGACTTCTGCTCTCCATGCTCCCACTGTCTCTCCTTCCTTTTCTTCAACAACCCCTGCTCAGCCCACCTCATGCTCTACCCACCTGCTCTCCCACCTCTTACCTTTGCTGGCACCAATTTATGTGCAAGGGTAAGTGGCAGAGGTGGAGGTGTTGTGGGGGATTGGAAGGTACTCAAGGCTTGCGGGGGGGCATGCACATGGGGGATAATATGGGGGGTAGGTAGTCAGGGCAGAGAGGCGGTAGGGAGCAAGAGGCAAGGGTCAGGCCCCACCAGCAGTGAGGAGGATAAATTTAAAATGACCCTCTTTTCCATGTATAGAATCTAATTATGGGGGGTCATCTTAAATTCTGGGTTGTCTGGGATTTGAGTAAGTACACTAATTTTCTCTCATGGGATACAATTCTAGCTTAAATCAATTCAACAATCTTAGTTCTAATTCAGTTAAATTTTCTGTCAATGCAGTTACTGGAAATCAAATATATTTTAGTATAAATGAAACTGGAAAAAGAAGATCAGATTTCAGGAGGGACCTAGTTTGATATGACACTTGGATCTCAAGGGTGCAAGCTGTTGCCAGGCTCTCACTGGACAAATACAAGTCTCTCAGCTGGTAATAGTGTAGGCAGTCACACCAGTGTTAAAATCTCATACCACTTTCTACCCAATGAAAAAAATGTAATAAGCATTAAATCAAATGAGGAGAGGCTATCAATTGAGTAATTGGCATTAAATCAAATGAGGAGAGGCTAATGTCCTAACCTAACAACAAGTGGTACAACAAGCATCAGAGTTATAGGGGAAAAAAGATCTTTACTGAGCTTGCACTGAGACTGCTGTTACTAGGGAAAGGTCTGTTTGTCCAGTGGGAGGAAATAAAAGCTAGAAGACATAGGAGAAAGCAGTTGGTGAGGAAGATCTCAGAAGGTTTGTATACATTTGTCAGATGGATGCAAGCTCATTGCCTGCGGTCCACCAGGAAAAAAACTTACTAGGTTTAACTCTTAATCCTCTTTGGACGACACCTGCCTCATTTGCCAACTGAAAATGCCTCATCAGAAAAAGAGCTACTGTGTGCTCTCCAGGCAATGCTGTCCAAAAGTCTCCTGTCTCTACCTCTTTGTACTGCACCTTAGTTTCTAACAGGGGCCAAAGAATGAGTAGGGCTAAGGTGGTACTTCTAGGCAGAGTTACCTGATTAGTATAACTTGTAGTTGTGCTACAAAGCAGGCAGTCATCTGATGAACCTCCTATGGCTTTCCCAAGTGGAGCCTAGTTTGGTGGCCCTTATTAGCTCTGAGATCAGATCTTTCATGGACAAACATCACTTGGGATTACAAGGACATAATGATTAGGGTGAAACACTTAGAACGAGGAACATAAGTCTATAAGGAGTACCGTATTGAGTCAGACAGTATCCTGTCTTTGACAGTGGCATAAGTAGGTGCTTTTGAGCAGTGGGACCAACCTTTTTGGCAGGCATAGACAAATTAGCCCTGCACCCTTTCCAAATGCCAGTCTGATCCCTTTCCCTTACCTGATCTGCTATTCAGCTTTCTGTTCCCTTTCTTATGTGTCCTGGCTAAGCTGCTGCTCTGCTTTCTGATTTCTGCCCTTTGCTTCCTGCCTGATCTCATGCTCTGCTTTCTGTTCCTTGCCCTATTTGCTGTTGTGCTGCCTGTCCCGTCTCCAATCTAATGCATGTCACACAGGCTACTTGGGGCACTTGCGGCACCCATGTTTCAGGTTGGCCACCTCTGCTTTAGAAGGTGAATGTATATATACAGGGCATGTCTAGGAAAATTCATCCGCTGTCATACCCTTCAGGCATGTCTACACATGTGTTTTACTGTGGAGTAGTTTAATTTGCTCCGCAGTGGGTATGTCTACACGTGATTCTTTACTGCATGGTAGACTAATCTACTGCGCAGTAAAGAGTCATCATCTACACATGCACCGTATTTACTGCACAATAAATTAGTCTACTGCATGGTTGGCTACTATCTGTAGATTAATCTCACAGTAAATACTGTGCAGAAGCATGCATGTAGATGGTGACTCAGGCATAAATCTGTGCCCTGTCAGCCCCTCACTCTGGCCCCTGTTCCACCACCTGCCTGCCCCCTGGGCATCATGCTCCTCAGCTGCGGGCATGTGCTAAGCCCTGCTGGCACCCAGAGTCTCTGCCTGAGTCCCCAAAGTCCCTGGAAGTAGCCATGATGGCAGTGTCCCCAGTGCTGCAGGCAATGCCCTGGGGCCCCAGCTGGTCAGAGGGAGAGACTGCTGACCTCATCGCAGTGTGGGATGAGATTGAGGTGCAGAGGCAGTTTGCCCAGGGCAGCTGGTCTAGCGTCCATATCTATGAAGACACGGTGGCCTGCATGCAGGAGTGCGGCAACTAGTGGTCACATAAAGGTCAAGGTCCTGTGGGCCCAGTGGGTCCATATAATGTACCACGACCAGTGCTTGGGGCTACCTGCAGGACTATGGCCTTTGTGGCAGCTGGACTACATTCTGGCCACAAGGAACCATAGACATGGCCATCATGTCTGCTCCAGTACAGGCGGCCTGCCAGAGCCTCTGTTGGGACCCAGCAGGGATGAGCAGTCTCCTGAGGAGGGCCCTTCAGGGCATAAGGAGCAGGCCCCAGTGCACTCCCTGTCCCCAGCCTCATCTGCAAACTCAGGGGCCAACGCCTGCCCCGCCAACTTGGTGTGTACACCCCCAGTGGAGAGGACAGGTTGGGGATGGCCCCAGTGGTGACCAGCTGCAGCTGCTCTCCGGAGGGGGCCACTGCACAGGCAGCCAGGTGCCGTGCCTCCACACCTTGGGACACTGTAGGCAGCCGCAGCACTTCGCCACCTACAGGGACAGACTCGGACCACTAGGATCGCCTGCCACGCCCATCTGGTAAGCCCTGCACAGAGAGGAGGGCTGGGGGTGGGTAAGGGGACACTGCAGCCACCCGTGCCTATGCCAGCTCATTGGCCCATCCCTGGGCTGCATGCCTGGAGCCAGGGGGCCTGCACAGTGGGGGTGGGGGCCCCCCATCTCCTTGCCTCCCTGCCCCTCTCCCCCTGCTCTGCCTGGGTGAGATCCACCCTGCCACTCAGGATTTCTTTCTCTGCTCCACTCCCCCCTCAATACTTAGGGAGGGGGAGGCAGTTCAAAACTTTGAGAGGCCAGCACCCTCCTAGCTTGGCAGCCAGGG